GTGTATTAGTTGTGTGTATTAGTTGTGTGTATCAGTTGTGTGTATCAGTTGTGTGTATTAGTTGTGTGTATCAGTTGTGTGTATTAGTTGTGTGTACCAGTTGTGTGTACCAGTTGTGTGTATTAGTTGTGTGTATTAGTTGTGTGTATTAGTTGTGTGTATTAGATGTGTGTATTAGATGTGTGTATTAGATGTGTGTATTAGATGTGTGTACCAGTTGTGTGTATTAGTTGTGTGTACCAGTTGTGTGTACCAGTTGTGTGTATTAGTTGTGTGCATTAGATGTGTGTATTAGATATGTGTATTAGATGTGTGCATTAGATGTGTGTATTAGATGTATGTATTAGATGTGTGTATTAGATGTACCAGTTGTGTGTATTAGTTGTGTGTACCAGTTGTGTGTACCAGTTGTGTGTATTAGTTGTGTGCATTAGATGTGTGTATTAGATGTGTGTATTAGATGTGTGCATTAGATGTGTGTATTAGATGTATGTATTAGATGTGTGTATTAGATGTGTGTACCAGTTGTGTGTATTAGTTGTGTATTAGATGTGTGTATTAGTTGTGTGTATTAGATGTGTGTACCAGTTGTGTGTATTAGTTGTGTATTAGATGTGTGTATTAGTTGTGTGTATTAGATGTGTGTATTAGATGTGTGTACCAGATGTGTGTATTAGTTGTGTGTATTAGATGTGTGTACCAGTTGTGTGTATTAGTTGTGTATTAGATGTGTGTACCAGATGTGTGTATTAGTTGTGTATTAGATGTGTGTATTAGATGTGTGTATTAGATGTGTGTACCAGATCTGTGTATTAGATGAGTGTATTAGATGTGTGTATTAGATGTGTGTACCAGATGTGTGTATTAGATGTGTGTGTGTATTAGATGTGTGTATTAGATGTGTGTACCAGATGTGTGTATTAGATGTGTGTATTAGTTGTGTGTATTAGATGTGTGTACCAGTTGTGTGTATTAGTTGTGTGTATTAGATGTGTGTACCAGATGTGTGTACCAGATGTGTGTATTAGTTGTGTGTATTAGATGTGTGTACCAGTTGTGTGTATTAGTTGTGTGTATTAGATGTGTGTACCAGATGTGTGTATTAGA